AAAATTTAAGTGCACTGTCCTTGCCGACTCGGTAGAATATGTGGGCTTAAGAATGGATAAAACTGGCCTCCATCCACTCGAACATAAGCTCAAAGCCTTGAAGACGGCGCCGCGCCCCAACAATACCAGTTAATTACGTTCATTCCTGGGGTTGGTCACCTACTTTAGTCGCTTCATGAATCAATCGGCTACAATTCTTAAGCCTCCTTATCGACTACTTGAGAAGAGTCGTTGCTGGAACTGATCGGAGGTCGAACAAAGTGCTTTTCAACAGGCAAACGCGGCTCTTACCTCCTCACCTGTCCTAGTTCATTATGACCTCAAAAGCCTATCATACTTAAACGTGATGCGTCTCCGTACGGCGTAAGTGCGGTTCTCACGCACCGAATGCCTTTTAGTGCGGCGATGCCGATTGCCTTCGCATCCGGAATCATGCCCCAGTCGGAAACCATATATTCACAACTAGATAAAGAGGTCTTAGCAATAATGGTATGCCTACATTGCTTCCACCTGTGTCTTTTTGGCTGACCCTTTGAGATTCACATGGAAGGCCAAACAATGTGTCTGTCTAAAAGTGCAGACGAGTAACCCGGGAAAGTAATCCGAAGGAGTTTTCAAAACCGAAATTTTGGCGCGCAGAGCTTTACATAGCTGGTTTATCACAAATATCCGCTAGACTAATGAACGAATCTGCGATTGTTGTCGCCCAAAATCCTGACGCAGATATCTGCCGACCACTCATAAATCCTAAGTACCGGATTCCCATCAATCAGTAATCGGTGGTCATTTGCCTTAGAGACAGCAATTGTGGCCTTGTCAATTATGTCAGTGAAGCCGGCAAACAGGTTCGAACGTGACTGCACTAGCATGGGTTGGCCGTAAGGCGAAAGTATACACTCTCCTCGGTAGTCGCCCACGCCTCCTCGCCAGGGCACCGCTTTGACTTTCAGTGCGTGAGAATATCGGGTCAGTCGGATGACCGTGTTGAGCCCTTGTTTTGGGAAGTCTGACACTCATCTGATGAGTCGATTAGTCGGCATATCGATCCGCCACTCGCTTACCAAGAACTGCGCGACCAAATCAGCAACGCAACTGGCATCTGTGCTTGGTAAGGGTGGGCTAAATTTGTAACGACTTGTATAGGTTTTCATTCCTCGACGATTGGCTCCTGCGAGAGTACGAAAGGTCGAATAAATAAACATTTGGTCCCAGCGATCACCTTCCCATCGTTTTCTTCTCAGTTATTTGATGCTGTCATTCTGCTTGGAATACAGGAGACTATTCAAAAGAAAGGTCTAGATTTCGGCAGTACTTTGGCTTTATTGGTTTTAAGCCTCCGCCCAGTAAATCTTGCAGGAATCGGAGTTACAATTCAAGGGGCAAAACCTCAGCAGGAACATAATAATGAACAAATTGAAGGGAAACCTTGTAATGTTGAAGTCAATATTTTGATTTAAGTATTCTTTGATATTCATTTTATCAAATGTTCTAAGTGCATTACTAGGACTTGGGGGATGATGCTAATTTTTCCGTCGCCGCCGCCGCCGTCGCCGCCTTTTTTCACAAAATTACTTGTATGTGTTACCTAGAGGACCTTTTGCTAGCTAATACGGATATAAGAACGTTTAAATATGCGCCAGTGGCTTACTAGGTGTAGCGATGATTTACTTACTGCAATGTGCTCTTCAGCTTGACGATTTCGTCTAATTGGCTCAAACGACCAATCTTCGAGGCCACCAATACAAATCGAAGATAAAATATGCCAAACTTTAATTGCGGGCCAAATTCTTCTCCCATCGGCTGGCTGAAGGATGGAACAAATTGTCGAACTCCGTTGTCTTAGACAAAAAACTTTGAGACCTTCAAAAAAAGACTAGATAAATTTATGCTTGATTGTCAAACATTTACACGATCAATGACTAACATAATTGTTATGTAAGTATGCGTATGTTTCTCATGTGTATATGTTAAATAGAACTTTTCAAGGCTCTGCCTATATCCCTCATACAAAATGAATTATGTCCATTTTCATATTCACTTTATTGTTTCTTTTTTCGTTATTATACCTGTCCGTGCGATAAATAAACCGTTCCCGAAATAAAGTTGGACAGTTCATTTGGTAAATTTTGTTAAGCGTTCATAAAGGTGAGTTGGAACAGCCAAAAACGCGACTAGTAAAACTGTGAAGGAGATACATGTCTCTTCCGCAATAGAAGAGTTCATTGATATTTTGGCAGATTTTGAATAATTCATATTGACCCAGCTGTGAAAAACTCGGTGCCTCGGTGGGATTCGAACCCACGCAGTAAGGGGGAAGGCTTTAGTACAGCCAACGCTCTAACCACCTGAGCTACGAGGCCCCGCCGGACGACGCGAGTTTTATCCCACTTGGGTCAAGTTACCCGCCCAACCTACTGCAACGTCTGGAATCCACTAAAGCCTTCCCCCTTACTGCGTGGGTTCGAATCCCACCGAGGCACCGAGTTTTTCACAGTTGGGTCAATATGAATAGAAGAGTTGTTTTAACCACCGTTCGAGAGCGGCAAAAACCGCAATGTCCGTACTGTACGCCATCAAGCGTGCGTTTATGGACTTTGACAAAGATGCTTTCTCTAAGACATTCGGAACATTCGTCCGGCCGCATTTAGAGTACGGCATACAAGCTTGGAGGCCGTGGGCTGTTGAGGATCAAAACTGCCTCGAAAGAGTCCAGAGGAGAGCCACGAAGATGGTTAGGGGTCAAAGCTCCTTTCCTTATGCAACCCGCCTAGTAAATCTGAACCTCTTTCCTTTGAGTTACAGGCAAATTCGCGGAGATCTCTTGCAAGCCTTCCGCATTGTAAAGGGGTTGGATTGCAGTCTGGCCTTCGAGGACGTCTTTGAATTTGCTACCACGACCAACCTCCGAGGTCACCCGTTAAAACTGCGCACTGAGCAGGCACGGCTGGATGTGCGGAAGTTCTCCTTCTCGGTTCGGGTGGTCAAACCATGGAATGAGCTTCCCGCAGATGTTGTGATGTCACCATCTATACAAAGTTTTAAGAAGAATCTGGACATATTTATGTTCCGAAATGACCAAGAGCGATGAGAAGTCAAGCTCACCCCTGTAACTCCTTCTCATTTTGTCCCACCATTATGGGCGTGTTCGAACTATTTCAGCCCAGAACATCTATCTGTACACCACACATTTTTTACGTTGCAAATAGGGAACTCAAAGGCTTACGCCTATTTCCCTCAGTAAACTGAACTGAACTGTACTGAACCATAGGCAGAACAATTGCATATTAATATGCCGGTTGCCTACTTCATGACCAAATTCTTGAATTTACCAAATATTCCAATTTTACTGGATTCTATCTGAGTTTTACACGTATATTTTAGTCTCCACATGTTTCTTCCGTGCCCTTATCCCGATTGTTGTTCATTTCTACTACATCCTGGGTCTGTGCGGCGCAGGTTTACACAAATCATTCAAGTGTCTGTTCCAATCGCCGGTCTCCTAAATTCTGGTTTTGACTAGGCTTCCCAGAGAGTTGCATGGATACAGTACCTTGTCATCCTTCTGGCCATGTGTCTGATCACGCCGGAAACTACTGAATTGACCCGCAGTCCCAAATTTTTAGGTAAACGTGAATGTCACTTATTTTACTGGGCTGAATTAGCGGTAACGAAGGTCAATGGATTCTCCCATGTAGGTCCAATGTCTACGGGAGTGTCTACGAAGGAGCGCCTTCTTCTGCATTTCGAGACCATAGATGGAATTCTAAAGGACATTTTGGATAGAGTAACGAAGAAAGCGAAGTTTGACGAGTACGAACACCTTGTACGGCTTTTATTAGAGAAGGATAATGAGATTAAGAGGACTCTCAGGGATGGTATTGTGCCGTTTGCCAAAAAATTGTTTTTAGCCGAAGAGCAACTGTCCATTCAGAAGAAGATTGATCAACTCCGTGCCGATTGTCTTAATTCTGATGCACAAATCGAAGCCTGTCAAAAAGAACTAAAAAAGAGTGAATTGCTTCTGGTACATAGGATTCAAGGTCTAATATTATCTTAGAGCACCGCGCTGTATTATTGCCGTCAGAAACTTGATTGCATGGTCAATTCTATCAAAAATCCAATAGACTTAGATGAATTAATACAATTTTCCCATTGGATTAGCTTTAACTATGGCGTTATGGCCCCTGACAACTGGGTTCAGGGAGATCCTAGGCGTCCATATCCGAACAAAAAGGAAATAAGACGTGGCTACTTAGGCTACCTGGATGATTCCGGAAACTTCCGACCCAGTGTTAATGAGGAGTTTGCGCAGGCATTTCCAAGCAATACGAACACGCCTACATCATCACATCCGACCCCAGGATGTCTTGGGACCAACACTGCACAATCGGGTGCTACCCCGGTCGGCCACTCTCACCACACAATCACGAACCAATGTGGCTTTCAGACGGCGCAGACACAAGGACCAAACACCGAACAGCCGGGTATTATTCGAACAGTGTTATGCTTAAAGCCTTCCTTTGAGACGTAGTAAGTACTTTCAGCTGGTATTGCCCGAAAGTTGCTTTATGAAAAACGGATATTGTAGACGACTCAACTGTGTAGTTTACTTTAACCAATTTGATCATGCCGTTGTTCTCGGGAAGAGACTCGCTATGCAACCGGAAAACGCGATAAACCTTGCCGTATTCACGATTTTTAATCTAAATCTTCCAATAAGGAATTTTTCATAAAGCAAACTTTGTGAAGGACCAAGATTTCGTTTCTCCTCTATGCCTATGCTTAGAGCTGTGGTAACTGCTGGCAGACGTTCGTAAAGGCATCGCGCCTCCCTAGATATGGTGGGGTCTATCACCGCACACTTCGCCGGGCGTCTCCGACCAAGCAGTTTAACCCATATGGAGTGCTAGATGACCGTTACTCAGACCGTTACATGGAGAAGGTCCAGGGAGGAAATAAAAATAAGGCTGATGGACAACGTCGTTACCACGCTCTTGGATGTGATTTGCCCCTAGTCAAGTCTGGATATTAGGCTTTCCACTTTAGAAACACTCAAACCAATTGTCGTCACTTCTGCCCACTGTCGGCCAGAGTTACTGGTGAACCTACCTTCATGTGCTGTGAAATGAAAATGACGTTTTTTGAAAGGCAGTTCGGGCCTTGTCACGCAGTACGTACACTGTCAAGGTTTATGTTCGCTCTCATTTGTAATGTTTTCTGTAGAATACTGTAAACCTCGTATTGAAGACAAGAACTACAAAATTGTTTTCGATCGTCCTTATAATTGTGTTTTTGACGCAAGAACCCATAAAAGAGCTCTTTGGGTACATTTCACCCCGCCTCTGGCCATTGTTTATGCGGCACACATTTTGTACCTAAACTTTACTCTTGCATCGTCTTGATCTGAGGTCGGTCAGCTGTTAAAAACTATTATTTGATGAATTTAAGGCAGCCATAGTTCTCTGGACTTTACTACCAGTGCTCTAGCTTAGATTTCTTTTCTAATACCTGACTATGCTTATAGCAATTCTTGGTGATTCAGATATAAGAGCATAAGATTCGTTCAGGAAGTAGTGGGTCCTGAATACCTTTCTCTTCCAGAATTTGCAGGGGCATGATACTTGAGGCAAACACCACTGTCTGGCGGAAATCTAGAAGGGCTGATTAGGGGAAAAGAAAGCCGGTAAATGGACAATCCACAGCGACTGGAAGTGATCCGATCATAGTGCTGAAAAGGTTGAGAGCAGAAACTTGGTGAAAATCTACGGAAACTGAGATGTAAATCAGATAAGCCTGAGAGCGCCAAAGGGGCGAAAAAGTACCCTGGCACGAAAGGAATCACAAGATCTAAGGAACTGCATCACCAAAGGACACTTAAAGTCGCATCCATGCAAAGCAGTTAGCATTCGCTACCGTAACCCGATCACAGAACCATGGGGTTGGCACTCCTAACCTTACGTTACCTCATAGTTTTGTTGGTATTAGCTTCTGCAGGAAAATAAGACGCCTGTAGGCGCTAAGAGAACTCTTCCAGATTACTCCTTCCACAGTTTAAGGACGCAAAGAAAACTCGCCTGTCGAATTCGCGTGCTTAAAACTAATACCATCTGGGGATTTCGTCGAATATTGTACAGTACATTATAGAAGCAATTCGTATTCCACATTGCCTATACAGTTAAGTACCTTCTAGTTCCGCTGATTCTACGCGTCACCACCAGAATGAAAAAGCCATGAAACTCTATACAGCTTATTATTTTGTCGGTGAATGTCAAAAAAGTCAGGGCGGCTCCGAAGGTCTCCATTTTATTTCGAATTGACCATTGATGCCTTGAAGCCTTACATTGTAGTTAGCAACCACCGTACGCTACGCTCAGAGAAATGATAGTACATCCCCAGAAATCCAAGGGAAGCTGCCTGCATGCATAGTTATGATGCCTACAAACTAAGCGATTATTATATTTCCCCTCGGGCCCGTATGTTATCCCTGGTTTTCGGCGTCATGATTGATTCCGCACACATTCAACATTCCCGATCCTCAATCGTCTAGACAAGTGGGTTTGAACTCCGTTTTGGCCCATAATCGGACTCCCGAGTTTAATTTTGCGCACAATTTTTGGGACAACACTTAGGCTCGCGCAAGGCATATGCATCCTGTTATCCGATTAAGCCCTAATGCCTCCCGCTGTTGAATTACAACTTGCAGGCGACGGCTGTCTGACTTCTCCCAAACCTTGTTATGTGCGGCTGTCACTATGTCCGGTTATGTAAATTAACCTGGCCAGGAAAAGTACTGCAATTGCTGTTAACGTGCAGCTCGGTGTAGTCACCCACTGCGTACCGTTTGTCAGGGTAAATGTCATTTGCTTTAGGCTCATCTTCATTACCTTCTTTTTAAAGGGACTTATTCACCAAGCATAATACTCCCCGGTGTGAACATGGTCTCTTCGCCATCGGCGACGTCAGCACCCAACGGCAGTCAGACGTGGAATCCTTCGAGCCTGCCAGGAGACGGGAGTACAAATACAGGGAACAGCAGCCAGTCCCCTGCCACCCCGGGACAACAGCCCAGGCATGCCAATTCGCTTGCAGCAATGCTTGGTGGCCAGGGTGGCATGAACAGGCCGGGAAGCATTGCGCCCCCCGGAGTGTCTCCATTATCCCGTATCCCACAGCAACCCTGCGGTCCACCGCTCTCGGGGCGAATTTCCAGCTCACCTAGTCCTGTAACTATTGCCAGCAGTCGGCAGCAGAACACCCTGGGTAGTCGGAATCCCGGTCCAAGACCTGGCGTCCAGCCAGGTATTATGTTCTCGGACAGCCACACGCCATCGAAGCTTCATAGGCGGAAGAAGCAGCACCTAGAGCCCGGGCCGGGCAATGAGTCACTGGAGAAACTGCACACAGAATCCTCAGAATCATCCGACGAAGACTTTAAACGGCGTAATGACCACATAAGTTTTTAGCCACTGTTCGCAGTCGTTCCGAGTATTTCAGCTGGGAACTTTCCTTTTTGCTATTTTCTGTCAAACAGAGGCACGTCCGTTTGCTTATTTGTACTGTCCGTCAATGTTGCTACCTTAGTGACAGTTTCGTCTTATACCGAACAACTGGTCCTGCAAACTAATATACGATAATCATAGAAGGCGGGGGAGATGTATGTATTTTCCTTTCAACAGAAATTAAAAAGCAGTCAAAAGAAATAAATCAAAAAACATCGTAACAAGTTATCTGGTGGGCTGTCAAATACGTCACTTCTGCGCAAAAGCTGACAAGAGTGGATTGGCCGACGCGCCTCTCTGAGGGGTGGTTCCGGAGATGGTGGGTATAAACAGCGGGACGGTTGAGGGTGTACCAGTGTCCGAAGGAACGAGGAAGTCGTGGGGAATCGGTCGTCCGCTGTGTTCGGCGATGCTCCTCTGCTGGACAATCGAGGTGGAATCTGCACGTAACCTTCGCGCTACCTGGAGCTGATTCTGTGGGCTTATGGATTGCAGATGATCTGTCGGCAACTTGATCCGAGTTGGCGGGGCTGACTCCCTTTCGAGGAATTCCGCGAAAAGTTCGATGAACGATTGCTGCGAGGAAAATGAACAGCAAATGCTCTTAGACGACTGTCATAATCCGCTTGGCGACTGTCCGTAAGCTGTTCAGTGCTCACGGCAAATACCCACGTAGGAAGACACAGTGGAGCATTTGGCTATCAAGCCTATCGCCTATGGAGCACATACAGGTTCGACATGTATTGGGCCAATAATGCTCTTGTAGGGTGAGCGGCGTATGATAAACGACAGCAAGTGATGGCCTGGTAAAGAACTCTAAAAGGGTGCGCGAAATATGCCCGGATAACATTCCTATGAGTGGTGGTGGGTGCACGTTGAGCAATCTTCACAAAGGGACTAGATGGCGTTCTGACAAAATGGGGCGGCAGTCACGTGAGGCTCTGCAGCGTGTAATCTAGAAGTAGACTGAAAAGTACAAACAGCGTAACCGACAACTAAACTGACGGTCGACGTCTTAATGGGTACGGAAGCAACAGTAGTGAACGCACGTGAGTTGGCTGTAGACTTCGGATTCTACTGAAAACATGGGGAGTTTAGAAAACGAAGCTACAGAGGGAAAGACTGGAACATGGTCAACTGCTAACTCAACGGGTTTATGGTTGTGGAGCCCCGAAACTGTCGACAGCAACCACAACAGGAGCAAGGACGAAGAAACGCCAACCAAACACTCACTTTTTGGTTATCGCCTCCGCTTGCGGACACATCCTCTCGGGTGCTCCAGAACCATTCACGCCAGTTCGTACCAACGGGTTCACTGAGGCCAAGCTGTAAGAGATGTTGAAAAGGGAGCTCTGGTAACTATTAGGTCAGGGAGCGCGAAATTCGCGAATGGTACTGCCTCCAGGAACGAGAGCTAAACGCATGCATTGCGACATCCACACAGTCGGGCTTTCGAAGGGCGTCTACCTTTCTGAAAACGGCCCCAGGGGGCTTGCACCGATCTTCCCTCTGACGGCGACGGCTTGAGAAAGGCTAAATACATACTGCCCACGTCGTCCTATAGCGGGGAAGGCCGAAATAGTCGGGGGCACACGGGTGCTGGTCCGCGAAAAGTTGCATTGCTCAGGCCTGGTAAATTATGTTACTTTTAGAGAATGGAAGTGCCAAGGTGGCAAATAAGTACAAGTCTTATCGATGCTTGAAAGGAGACTACGCAAAACAGGTAAGGAACTCCGTCAAATGGCGGTTGGTGCATGCTCTCAGGGACAAGGAAGTCAGTCCTACCAAATAGCGCTCGCGCTCAACTGATATCTCGAATATCGCAGGCGCCGCAGTGACCGTTCCTCATGCGCACCTGTCTTTGCGGCGGTCCGGTCTGTCATGGTGGTTGCGGCGGGCAGGCCTTTAAGTGGAGAGGGGGAGATTGATTCGCTCCTTGACGCCTTGAGATGTTACTTTACGAGTAGCCCACGGTGCCATCGACTGCCCGTCCCCATCTGAGCGCTCAAAAAATTCAGATGGCGGCTGTTCTACGATTGCTGACTGTAAATGCCGGGCATCTACCTTGGCTGGCCTCTGTTCGCTAATAAAACTGTCCATTGCGTACGCCAGTACTATGCCCATTGGCATAGTTAGTGAATAATTAAGTTTTTGCGTTCGCTTCAAGTTGGTTTCCAAGACCGGAAGCAACCAATTTCGGTCGGCGTTTGACTATGTCAGAAGGGTTTGAAAAGTAGTACCTGGTTACACGGGGCGGCTGTGGCCATAACTGCGACATAACTAGAATGCAGATATAGCGAGAGGCGTGGCGCAGTAGATGACGTTTTACGTGAGATGTTAACCAGAATTCCGAATGTTTTTGATCAGAAAGAATTGCTTGGGTGGGATGGTAATATTTATTATCGAGCAGCATAATGCCAAAATAATTTAGACACATCACAATGCCGACTTTTGAGTACACATATACTCGGTAGTCTGCAAACGACATGGCAAGAATATATGCTCACGCAATATGCGTCATCTCCGCTGATTTCCGACGTCTCATTGATTTAAGTATAGTTTATAGAGGAAATGCGCAACAATATTTTTTATTGTACTCATTTTGGTAGAAAATCACGTTTTCTGCGAAGATTTATACGCTGAAAAATGGTGACCTTGTACTTGAAGTTTCAACTGCTGAAACATTTTGGACCTGACTTGCAGGTGCCCT